AGTTGGGTATTTTCGTCTTTACACAGCTGGCGGCTGGTGTGACAAGCCAGTCCTCGTACAGTCGTTGTTCTTTTCTGCAGCAAATCTTTGTCCATCGCTGACTCAAATGCCAATATCTGCCAGTCACGGTATTTTGCCGAGTTCACGCGGACATATCCCTCATTGGCCAGTACTCCGTGTGGTTGCCATTTTATCACATAAAAGTGAGGTGGGCACCAGACTGACGTCGGTCGTACGTTCGTAATCAGGACATGGGTTCGTCTTCCTCGGCGATTAAAAACAACCGTTGGAATCCAACCCTTCGTCCGTCGCACCCACAAGTCATGCGTCGACTCACTGGGTTGCCGCCTGGGCAATTTGAACTCAGCGGTCATTCGACTTTCGATTGTTAACCCGTCTGGTAGCCCGCATGAGACATTTGGTCCGAACTCGGTCTTGGTCGGCGCATTACTTGATCGGATGAGTGGAATCACCATCTCATCGGGTAGCTTGACCGCCGAGTTGTACAGATCCAGACGGATCCCAGCTGGGATCATGAAGTCAGTGCCAAGAATCAAATCGACTCCGGCATGATGAGGCATTATCCATACTTCAAACTCGTATGCCACTTCCCAACCGAGTGTCACCTTCACAACTGCTCGTGACGTTGTCACCATTCTGGTTTTACTTATTCCTTGTATGCCGGTTCGCTTATCTCGGCTGGCCACTCTCTTGAGACGCAGTTTCCTCGCGAAGTACTCACTAATCGCCGAGACATTTGCTCCGGTGTCCAATAATATCTTGGTCCTTCGGTCGTTCACTACACCCAATACAAGAGCTCTCATTCTAACTCGGCGATCAAACGTCTGTGCTGACCACCATCCCAGCCGTTCTCCCGGAAGCAGCTTCATGATTCTGGTACGATGCACAGCCTGGTCTGACTGCCGAGTTACACTTGCAATCGCTCGGTGGTTATCATCTAACTCACCGAGCTCACGTTCAATTCCGTCGATTTCACACATCCAATTGCCATCCCCGCTTCTTCCCTCGGGCCGTCCTGCTTCACCTACGAAGGCAAACAAGAAGTTCGCCTCAACCGCAGGTTCAGCTGACTGTGGCAGCCCGGCATATTCCAACCCAGTCAGTGTTGGCGGGCCGCCGAGTTTAAATCACTCGGCGTGTAAAGGTTTTGCCGGTCTTCTGGCACTTGCGACTTGTCGACAGAGGTTTTCACGAACGCAGCCAGCTTCTCGTATTGACGAAACAGCTCGCACTGGCCGACTTCACGGACTTGTCTGCAGAATTTGCAGCGTCGCCGACAGTAGTGAACCGAGTGCCCCGTCCTTCCACAAGCTGCACAAGGTCCACGCTGTGAGTTGTCGCGTGATCCATCTCTACGGTTCGACTGTTCTCGTTGGTTGTACGGTCGTGGAGGTCGGTTCGCTGAGTTCCCCCAACTTCGATTCGAGCCATTCTGGTCTCCCGCCGAGTTCTCTCGGCGGTCCGGTGTATTTCCCTTATCATTGGTAACGTCGGCGTCTATGTAGTCGTCGTCTTCCGCTGAGTCGTAACCCCCGGACTTGTCCTCATCATCCCATTCGTCTTCGGAGTTGTACGGACTCGGCGGGTTCTGATCGAGTCAGCATCAACGACAGTGACTCGGCGGTCGCGGTTTTCGTCCTTGAGACTGCGCTTCTCATCTCGACGTCCATCTCGGCGTTCATCGCGACGGCTTTGATCCTTCCACTTATCGTCGCGTCCTCGTGCGATCACGAGTCGGTCGCGTTGCTTCTTGCGCTTTTCACCGAGGATCCGACGATTGATTATCTGCTCCACCTTACTGATGTCTTCCAACTGCAAGGGGTACATCAAATCCATCACCTCGTCATCACCACAATGCAACAAGAAGTGCTCGACATGGTTAGCTGCGTCGGCGCCACTTTTCTCGTACTGGATCTTGGCTGTCCGAGCATACCCATTGAGTCGGATCAGGAAGTCGCAGATCGGCTCGTTGACTTTACGTCTCGCCGAGTAGTAACGAGTGCGGGCGGATTGGTCGAACTGCGAGCAATAATAATCCAGGAACGCTCACTGAGTAGTTCCCAACGTCGCTGAGTCTTCTTCGGCAGCTGCCTATACCAACTCTTCGCCGCGCGTCCCAAGCATAGCGAGAAAGGTTCGCACCAGGCACTTTGGGACATCCTAGTGCTCTTCATCTCGTAGATGAAACGCTTGAGCCACTGGAGCGATGCGTCAGAACGGTAGCGCTTTCCTTCAAACTCGGCGATTTTGTCGAGTGAGGCGTGTGTTCGGACTTCTAGGTACTGAGTCGAGTCTTCTTCAGCCGCGTCAAAGCTCAAGTTTCGAATGTAGTCCTTCACTGTTTCTTCACGGTTTCCTCTCTCGTCGAAGGCGTCTGCGTCTCCCTCATCCTCCTCGTAAGCCTCAGCCTCGTCTGCAGCGTCATACAATTCACGGTAACGACCAACGATCCGCTGCCCACGACTCGGCGTTCGCTGAGTCGGCTTTAGCTTCATTGGAGTCAGCATGTGAGAGTCTTCGAAGTACAGAATCCCTTGCGTAGCGCGGAACACTTCACGTCTCTTCGTCTCCGGGGTCGCCGGCAAAGGAATTTTGCTTGGGTCTTCGCCGAGAGTTTTGAACTCGGCTACTCGGCTGTACACCTTCTTCGTTCCACCAGGGCCTTCTCCAATCCAAACGCCACTCTCAACTTCTTCTTCCATTGTCAGAGCTCAGCTCCACCACGGGTCAGACTCCAGTCGGACAGGATGAGGCTGTTTGGTCGGCTGTTGCACCGATAGCCCATCGCCTTCAACAGCAACACAGTTTCTTCCTCCAACTGATTGATGTTGGCTGCACGCACCGGCTGCGTTAGCTCGGGACCCAACATCGGCCACTTCGCCTGCGCCATTGCCACAGGCGCGAACATCATCATCCATTCCGATCTCGTTCTCATCTCCTCGCCGAGTCGAGCCAACACTTTATTGGCGCTCGGCGTATCGGCGTTCCTCGTCGTTTTCGGAATAAGGGGCGGACGGTCCCCTTGAGCAACGCCATGTTCTTCTTCATCTTCTTCATCGTCCGCACCTTCGTCCAGCTCGGCGAATAAGTTACCGTCGACAGGACGTGGGGCTCCCATGCGTCCCACCTGCAGCGTCAACTCTTCCACCTCGCCAAGTAGCTCGGCGGTAGTCTTTCGTTTCTCCGAGCTCAGCGGTCTCGGCCTTCTCTTCATACTCTCGCTTCACTTGCATCTCCGGTCTCGCTCTCTTGGTCTTGGCCATCCTCGTCGGAACTGGACGGTTTCGTCCCCACTCCATCGTCATGGCCATGAGTCGGTGATCCCGCCGGGTCCGACCCCACGAGAGGCGATCCTCTAGCCGTCGCTGGGCTTCCGTCGCTCCGGAGTGCTGATCCCTTGACCATCGTCCACTCTTCTCTTTCTCTTCTCTTCCTCTTAACTTGGTAGCTGGCACCTATAAAAACAAGCACA